TCCAAAGCCAACATGGCTGGGCAGTCCATTCAGTGGCCAGGTGGGATCTTGCTTCTCTTGAGCAGCACACTACCACTGCACCACAGTCTGCTCTGTCATTTCTTTCCATTAAACTTTCTGCTCATCTTATGGATTAATAGCCCAGACATGATTTGAGCTACAGAAATCAGACACAAAAGTTTATTCTATAACATTGTATTAATTGAAATTAACAGATGGCATAGTGGCTACATTGCTGGACTCTCACATAGTCAACTGTAGTTTGAGTCCCAGAACTGGCAACTTAAAACTCATGCCAGGCGTACGTGCGTACATGCCCAAAATCCTGAGAGACAAATGGAGGAGAAGGGATAGTGGTGTAGCCAACTCTCAGGGGTGGGGGGGGTGATTTCTTGCTTTCGGTCTCTCTGTCTCTTTCTTTGGTGAGTGCGTGTGCCCTATAGCAAAAATCTCTCTCTAAAACAAAAAGGATTATATGTATTAGTAAAGTTCAAAACCAGGTGAATCTCTGGCGTTAGAAATCAGGACAGACTTGCTACAGTAGGGATTTATTCCCAGATGGAATAATAGTGGTAAATTAGTAGTTATCACAGTGAGAAGCCTATTCCTAAAGACATTCCTATGAGACATTTCTTTGGTAGCACTCTGTTTATTCATGAGAATGTTAGTTACATGGTTATTTTACATTTCTATAGTTACTATAAGAAAAGTACCACAAACTGAGTAGTTTAAAACAGCTGAAACATTTTCTCTCACAGCTCTGAAGGTTACTAGTCCAGAATGAAGGGATTTGAAGGCCCAGGATCCCTCTGAGACCCTGGGTAGGATCTTTTCTTGCCTCTTCCAGCTTCTGGCGATTCATGGCAATCCTTGGCATTCCTTGGTTTCAATTGCCTCCTTCCAATCAGTGCCTCTGTCATCACCTGGCCTTTTCCCTGAGTGTGTCTGCCCTAATTCTCTTCTTATAAGGGCACCAGTCAGATTGGAGAAAGGTCCAACCTACTACCCTCATGTTAATTTGATGTTTGTAGATATCCTAGTTCCAAATAAGCTCAGATTCACAGGTACTCGGGCTTAGGATTTCAACATATATTTTGGAGAGACACTATTTAACATATAACAGTAAGTTCATTTTGTGAAAATTTGTTGAGCTTTATGCCAATGGTTTTTCAGACATCTTTGATTAAAAACATGTTTGCTTTATAAAACATGTTATTCCCAGGAGAAAAATTAAAATATCTAGTAATAAATGCAATAGAAGATAGACATGATGACTCTGGAGATATTTATGAATCTTATTGAGTGATATTAAAGATATTGATTACTGAAGAGAAATTATCCCCCCCCACGTATGTACTTATTATACAAGTGAGGGTATGTAAAAACTGGTGAAGGAATGAGTTTGGCAAGATGGCTGTCTAGAAAACTTCAGGCCCCCATTTCTTCACAGAAGCATTCAATAAACAATAAGTGAACCGAAATAGCTCTGAGTGGTCTCTAGAAATCAGTTAAGAAATTGCAGCAATCAAGAAAATGCCTAACGAAGAAAAAATTTCATTCAAAATTGTAAGAAAATTTCTAGCATTTTGCTTACCCTTTTCCCACCCATTCCCGAAGACAACACAGTTTTATTGAGAGGAAGTGACCGAATTCCTAGTTCCTCCTTTGAGACATGAGAAAAAGAGTGGGAACTTCTGACGTGCCTGGGGTTACTGGAGGAGCTGGCTCTCCTGAGTCTTCTGATGTGAATGGTGTCATAGTTTGGATAAAGAGGCAAATATTGCCAAGGTGGGTCCTGCAGAGCATTAGTGGAGGCACATACCCGTGGGCTCCTGGGGGCAAGATATTATGGGTAGAGGAATACAACAGATATCACAGGCATTTGAGAAGAACCTGGACTGAGAATCATATGGAAATTAGGAATTTTCTTTTTTTAAAGAATTATTTTTATTACTTTATTTATTTATTTATTACTTTATTTATTTATTTATTTATTTATTTTAATTGGACCAGTGAGAAAACAAGGTGCCAAGTTTAGGACTTGAATCATGGTCGGCCACATGGGAGTCCGGTGCCCTTAATCAACATGCCACCTGCTGGTTCTCAGAAATCCAGAAATTAAGTAATTTAAAAGCAGTTGTATTTGGGAAATCAGAAGAAAAGCACACAGACAGGCCAAGGGAAGATTCTGATCTTCTACATAGAAACAGTTAGTGAAGGTCTTCCCTTGCATGAACATACCCTACAAATTCTAGGAGAGGTCTGGCTGGTTTTTGCACACTCCCAAATCTCAACAAAATATTATAAAGCAAATAGAATACCGACAAAATATTCTCCATTTGAAGGAATAAGATAAATTCCAAGAGACTGATAATAAAAGAAATAGGTCTCTGAGTTACTTGCAAAGAATTTAAAATAACTGTAATACAGATGTTTAAAGAGCTAAAAGAGAACATAGATGGAAATTGAACGAAATAAAAAAAAGATTTATAAACAAAATGAAGATGTGAAAAAGAGGTAGAATTTAGTAGAAAAAAATTCAGGAGTTGAAAAAAAACAAAAGTGGAATTTAAAAATACATAGTTTTTGATTAACAGCAGAGGACTTCCACAGCAGACTTGATAATGCAGAAGAAATAACCAGCAACATTGAAGACAGGCCATTTGAGAGTACAGATTCACAGGAATACAAGAACAAACAAAAGTGAGTAGGGTCTAGAGATCTTATGAAAAACCATCAAGTTTATATTCAGAACATGTGGCGAACCACAACTCTATAACAATAAAAATGATCTGATTTAAAAGTGGACAGAAAACTTGAATTTATATTTCCCAAGTGAAGATAAATAGCCAGTGATTATACAAAAAATGCTTGACACTATTTTATTGGGGAAATACAGATCAAAGACATAATGAAATATGAATTTATATACGTTAAATGGTTACTACTTTTAAAAAAAAATCCCAGAAAATAGCAAGTTTGGGGGAGTATGTGGATAGATTGGAATCCTTAAGCATTAGTGGTCTTGGTGTGGAAAAATTGGAATGATTATGTCCTTATGGTGGGAATGTGGTGTGGTGAAGCCACTTCGCAATCAGTATGGTAGTTCCTGAAAATATTAAAAATAGAGTCTCCATCTGATGTTGCATTGTCTTCTGGGCATGTATCAAAAGTATCAAAATCAAGGTCCTGAAGAGATTTCTGTACAACCACGTTTACAGCAGCATTGTTCTCAATAGCCAATGGTGGAGGCAACCCAGTTGTCCATTAACCGATGAATAGCTAGGCAAAATGTTGTATATATATATATATATATAGTGAAGTATTACTCAGTTTTGGAAGGAAAGGTAATTCTGACACATGTTGCAACGTGACACACAGAATAGAGGAAAAAGTCTTCAGTACATGATGCTGGAAAACCAAGATATTCACATGTGTGAGATTGAAACTAGATTCTATCTCTGATCGCATACAAATTTCGACTCAAAATAGATTAAAAACTTAAGTGTAAGATCTGAAATGATAAAACTTTAGTAGAAAACAGGGGAAATGCTTCATGACATTGGTCTGGACAGAGATTGTTTTTTGTTTTGTTTTGGTTTTTTAAAATAAGACTTCAAAAACACAGGCAATGAAAATATAAATGATCAAATGGAATTATAGCACACTAAAAAGGTACACAGAAAAAGAAAAAAGAACAAAAACACTCCAAGCAATTAATGAAATGAAAGAAGAATCTACAAATGGGAGAATATATTTGCAAACTATGCATTTGAAAATATACAGAATATATAAGGAATGCAAACAACTCAATACAACAGCAAACAAACAAATAAATAATTCTACTAAATAATAGCCAAAGGACCTAATTAGACATTTATCACAAAAGACATTCATGCACACTAATGATATGCAGTGATTGAATATATTAAAAAATAGGGAAAACAGTATATGTTAATTCATAATGCAAAACAAGGTCAAAGTTAAGCAGTAATTAGCATAAAATTTAAAAAATATAAAAGACATACAAGTGGATAAAGGATATGAAAAAAATGCACAATGTCACTAATCATCATGATAATGTTAATAAAAAAACACAGTGATATATAACCTTATTCCAGTTAGAATAAATGGTATTAAAATAACAAAATCAGATGCAGATGAGAACAAAGGGAAATATACACTATTATATACTGTTATACTTATGTATTGTTGGTAGGAATTAGTTTAGGCATTATGTAAAATTGTATGGAAGTCTCTCAGAAATTTAAAAATAGAAGTATCTAGTGATCCGATAATCACACTATTGGGTATATTCCCAAAGGAAAAGAAATTAATTTACACTTTCATGCTTTTTGCTGCACTACTAATGATAGCTACCATATGTAATCCATCTAAATACCTAACAACTGACGAATTGGTAAAGATGTGTTGGATACGCATGATGGAATGCTATTCAACTACAGAAAAGGATGAATTCTTGTTATTCAAGGCAAATGAATAAAACTGGAAGAAATAATGCTGAGTGAAATAAGTCTAGCACTGAAAGACAAACACTGTATGTCCCATTTGTTAGTGGAAGCTAAAAGATTTGATTGCATGAAAGTAAAGAGTGTAATGGTGGATACCAGAGGACAGAAAGGGGAGAAGAACTAGGGGATGGACAGAACTTCATTAAGAGATACAAGATTGTATCCAAATAGTGGAAGGGTTTACAGAATACTATGTGCAGCAGAATAAATAAAATATATAATATATGACTTTCACAATAATCAAAACACTGGATCTCAAATGTGCACAACACAAACTAATGATAAATATTGGAGACAGTGGATCTGTTTTTGCCCTCATTTATTCAATACATATTATATACATGTGTTGGAAAACCATACACTGCACACTTCAATATGGACAACTCATATATGTAAATTAGAAATTAAATGCTGTTTTTTAAGAACTCTCACAAGTCAATAATAAGAAAACAAATAATCCTTTAAAGATGGGCAAAAGATCTGAATCTATACTTTATCCACAGAAATAGCTGGTTGGCAGAAACATATGATGAGATACATAACATCATTATTAATTAGGAAAAACAAAGTAATGCAAGAATTAAATGATACTAGACTTTTATTAAATGTTTTTACAAACTGACAATATTGACTTTTTGAAAGATGTAAGCAAGTGAAACTTTTATAGAATACTAGTGGAGAGGAAATGGTAGAGCCACTTTGGAAAAGACTTTGGGGATTTTTTTTACTGATAAGGAAACTAAAATGAGAAGTTTGGACTCACCAAGGAGTGCAAAACTATTAGGTTTTGCATAGGTCAAAAATTCAGACCTATTCTCTTTTGAGTATATCATGCTGTCTTTCTCTCAAAAAGTAAGGAATCAAACACCAATGCACACACTGCATATAGAATAATGACTTTAATTACTACCGCCTTAAGTCCTCGCTAAATACCCACAATGGGGACAATGTTTACAGCATTATTTACTGAATCTGTGTTAGTTGTGGAAATGAGGTGTACAAATCTCTGCTTTCTAAACCTCACTAGAAGTAACACTACTCTCTCACTCCACTAGCCTGTGTTCCTAAATGTCTGATGGAGAAGTCTGGAGAAGGGCCAGGACGGTTGAGTCTGGAGCACCTTATCCTCATGCACCTGGTGAGTCAGCCTAATCTCAATCAGAGCTAGAATACAGGTATGGCCCATAATAAAACAAAAATAGTCTGAAAACAGAAAGACTGAAACTTTCAAGGGTCTGGAATTTTGATTAGAGAAATTCTGGTATGTATCTTTTGTTGGTGTTATCACTGTTCTCATCATTAGGTAGCAAGACAGGTGATTTTTTTCTCACAAATGTAGTACATGAATCTGGAGCAGTCCGAAGGAGCCATCTTTGTTGCTGCTATACTTCCACAGTTTCCAAGCTTTGACTCTTTCCAATCACTTAAAGTAGAATAAAAACAGGTAAGTGCTATAAAATACACATTCACTAATGCAGATACAAAAGAGATATTGGTCCAAAATTAAGGTGATATATTTTTCTTTCTTTATAGAGACTTTGTGCCCTAAGTATTCCTAGAAAGTACCTTACCAGGAACATAGGCATGGAATTAAAGCCGAAAACCTCTTTTCCTTCAAATATACTCATATCTATAGTTGAGTTTAGGTTCTCTGTAAATGTGTATGTGTGAGAGTGTGTGTCTGTGACTGTGTGTGTGTATGTATGTGTGCATGTATACATATGTGTATGCCTGTATATATGTTTATGTGAGCATATATTGGGTCATCAGAAAAGTCAGGACACATTTTTGCATTAGAAAAATACATCATGACTTTTCTCACAACTCAATACATGTGTAGATATATATGCCTATACATATATTTATATATCCACATATATGTGTACATAATTTTTCTTATATGCTTACAGGACTGTAAACCAGAATCTGTCATTATGGAACTTGCTAATTGCTTTCTATTCTAGAGACTTACAGTTCAAGATGAAGCTGTGAGTCATCTTCCCAGGTCCAGGAACTGCTGATTCCTTTACGGGACAATCCAATCCAAAAGAAATAAGATATTTGGCTTTGAATAAAGTCCTATAATGAGTAAGAGTAAGACAATTTTTATATCAAGTAAGAGTATCTTTATATTCCTGAAGTGAAGTAATAACATTTTTAATATTAATTTTGTTATCAATGTGTATATTAAAAAGTATAAAGGAGGGACCAGCAGTTGGCGTGATGGCTATGTCGCTGGACTCCCACGTAGATGACCGCAGTTTGAGTCCCAGACCCGGTGGCTTAGACGCATGCCGGGCGCGTGTGCGTGCATGCCCAAGATCCCGAGAGGAGAATGGAGGAGGGAATTGCAGCGTGGCCATCCCCCCTGGGGGGTGATTTCTCGCTTTCTGTCTCTATGCCTCTCTCTGTCTTCCGGGCAAGTGCACGTGCCCTATAGCAAAAAAACCTCTCCCCCCCCAAAAAAAAAGTATAAAGGTAAACCACCCCCATTCCCTTTAAGTTAGAAAAGAATGGAATCTCAGTTTTTAATATTTTATTTTATTAAATAACAAGGCATAAATAAGACAAAAAATGACAGCTATGTTCACCTAAACTCAGGAATAAAATCTCTTAATATTTTTTCTTTTATTTTTTCATTTTTTAATCTATTTATTTTACATGTATTCACTGAGCATCATCACAACATACAAAATGTGATTTCCCATCCAGAATACACTGTACAGTGGCTTAATTATAGGTTTGTGGCTCAAAGAAGAATTTGGGGGCAAAGTCTTGTTTGTATTTTGGAAATTCAGAAGCAATGACTACAAGATTTCTATCAATGTTATTTTATTTCTTTGTTCCCCAAGTTCTGCATTTACTTATTATGAAATGGGCACTCTAAGGAAGTTGTCCTTTGCTCATCAAATGAAATGTTTGCATAGCTCACTGGAACGCTACTTGACAAGTATTAAAGTAACTGATATTCGCTTAACATTTTAAGTTTTGCAATGCATATGTACATATTGTGTTTCACTTTATTTTTCCAAATATCTAAGAAGAAGATGTAGATACTTAAAAGGAAACAATGGGTTTTATTTTCTCTTAGATTTCCATCCCTTAGAGAAGTCAACAAAAATTTAGGTGTATTTATCTAGACATTACCTCTGGCATCCAATTTCAGGGTATTCATAATTTTTTAAAAAATTTCTTTTCAATGGGGGAACCAACAGTTAGCATAATGGCTATGTCTCTGGACTCCCATGTAGTCGACCGCGGTTTGCCTCCCGGACCTGGTGACTTAGAACTCATGCTGGGCGCGTGTGCGTGCGTGCCTAAGATCCCGAGAGGAGAATGGAGGAGTAGGGATTGCGGCATGACCATCCCCCCTGGGGGGTGATTTCTCGCTTTCTGTCTCTATGTCTCTCTGTCTGGCAAGCGCACACGCCCTATAGCGAAAATCTCTCCAAAA